CAAAAATATCCTTGCATTAAGATTTTAATTTAAAATTACCAAATTTATAAATTTCCTAATTTATCTATTGATTTGTGGTTAATATTGGTTTTCACAGTTACCAAAAACAACTCAGTTCTTCCTTGAATAGGCTACTATATATATATATATATATATATATATATATATATATATATTAGTTATATCTATTTTGCCAATTCTATGATAGACCAAGAAAAGTAGAATGATTGCAGAAAGTAGTGGGTATTTGGAATGGAGTGTGAGATGATTGAGGTTAGGTCCAAACCCATTATCCACACACATGTCCATTTCTTAGCCAAACACAACCCCACCACAATCTCTATGTTGTGTTGTATTGCCCCAAACATCCCCATCTCCATTCACATTATCACAAACCACAAAACCATAATACATATATATATATGTGAAATTTACCCAACAATTTCATCTAATTTTAATCTAACCCTCTCAATATACAACTTAAATATCACTAATTTCAAAGAGGGCAAAACCGATCAATCTGATCATTCCACGTTTTCGTGGATTCACCAACCACACACTTCCTAACTCGAAAACCAAAAAAGTTCCAATTTATCCATTGATTTGTCAACGGGTATCACCAACATACCTGCCCTAATCTGCTGCCCGGATGATCTTTCACTGGCAGTTGGGGTTACGACCAGGTCCGCCGTAATAAAAGTAGCTGCCCCAATCGCCGTTGTTGCCTGTTCGAACATCGTAGCAATTGGGTTGTTCGGTAAAGGTGTTAATGTCTTTAGGAGTCCTTAAATTGTTGGATTCATCCACAATTTCAATATTTCTGAAATAACTTGCTTTACTAAACCCTTGTTGAGGGAACTGACCGCTGCCCATTTGGGTAGTCGTGTGTTGCCCGTCTAAGGCTGTGTTGACCACCTCTCCACCCCATTCTATCAATGATGCCTTCTCAGTAAGGTAAGAAAACAGTGTGGCTGGCCAGTATCCCAATACTTTTCCATTCCCAAATTGCATCCACCAGTTTCCTTCCTCTGGGTCCTACCCAAAAAATGGTAACCAGAATCTTTCAAATACAGTGCTTACACAGCTTGTACCTTGTGCACCAATAGTTGTACACTTGAACTTTAGCACATTTAACAGGAAGTCATCCAAAATAGTCATTTTATAGCCACTTTTCTATTCAATCGATCTAAATAAGTGTTCACGGTTCTATTTTAGTTTGTCCTAAATTAAGTGTCCACTTTCAAAAGTAAATATTTATTTTATCATTATACCCTTAACTATAAGATGGAGAAAATTTCCCAATATTATCAAAGGTAAAATTGTCATTTGTTTAATTAAAAAAATGATAATTATACATTCATAAAACTGTGTGTCATTTTAATTGTGGATATTTATTTGGGACGAAGAGAGTAGCATTTTAACAAGTTACAAAATCTACTTTATATGAATTTATTATTTATAAGGTAACACCTTAGCAAGTTGTTAAAGTGCTACTTGCGAAATTGTGAAGGCGTTGTTTATCCAACTTGCTGAAGTGTTATTTGCTGTGTTAGCATTTTAACACTTACTAGGTTAAGTGTTCCTTTATGATGATCAAATTCATAAAAAAGTAGTTTTAATACGGTTGTTAAAGTACCATTTACAAAATCTTGACTATTTTAATCAATTGTGTGAAAAAAGAGTATAAAATAAATTGTGGAAGTGTTTTAGAATGACTATTTTGAACAATTTTCCCATTTAACATTTTATCTATATTTCATTTAAATAGAAAAAAGATTATGGGTTTCATCAAAAGTACAACCATTCCTGCAGGGAGTACTATCTGTATAGAAGGTTATCAAATATTTCAGGCTTAAATGAGTTGTACCCTCAAACAAGCATGCTTAGTGCTCACATCCTACTTCTACATCATGGTTATTAAAATAAAGATGCATGGTTTAGAGACACAAACAGAAATTCCTGACAAGAGGAACAAATGCCAAAGATTCTTTCTGCCATTTTCTTTAAAATGAATTATATTTCTTGATAATTGTAAATTTAGGATAATTAAAGAAAGAAGTTGGCATTTTTATCAATCTTTATGTAGTATTTTAATAACCATGATGGTATAATATAAAATTACTTAAGCTAAATGATGAGAATTTTGGACAATATACCTTCCAGACAAGAATGCTGATATCATATTGGGAACCCTGATTCTGTGAAATAGGAGAGATGCTGGCACCCATTGCAATCTCATTGTTGATTTGAATAAACCCTGAGCACAGAAGGTTGTAACAGCCTGTTGCTTGATATGCATCACTCTGCCCAAAATATTCAATATCATAAAAATACCATAAGAATTGAACCCCATGTGGGTCAAGTACTGATTTCAATTAGAAATCTTGGACAATTGATTTTAAACACAATTTGCATAAACTTACAGTCCAGTAGGTGAAGAGTCTGGTGTTGTTATCCCCATACAATTCTGGGCTCACCTGGTTTCAAAGATAGTGCAAGAACTTTAAAAGATATTGTTCAAATTAACTTTAAAATACTTCCATTTTTGGGTCCTATCGTAGTATTTGACTTCGTAAGACGATGAAAATGTGATTTTGCATCTCAAATTCGATAGGAGAAAGAGAAAGAAAGTCACCTGCCAACCGGCTTCAATGCTGTTGAGATCTGAAGCAAAAGAGCCTCCTAATAACCAAATTTGAGACAAGCTGAATTCATTATATTGCTGAACCTTTGGATTCCAAACATTCATTGTTGCTTTTGCACCATAGAATTCTCCTTCAGCATAGGCTATTGCATGCTACAAGAACTCCAAAATAATAGAAAAGACCAATTACATGGTGGGAACCATCGTCTGAAAATTGTCACTTGCAAGCGAAAATCATTCAGATCTTGCATTGAATAATTGTATCTTTTGCAATATGTATGCTTGATTATTGTTGTTGAAAGTTTGTTTAAGTATTAAAGATAGATTTTTTTTACTATTACATAAAAACCATGTCCATAAAGACAAAAAAAAAACTTATTAGAAACCTTTTGACAATTTTATTTGTTTGACCCTATGCTATCAAGAAAACACATAGTTGTCCTATCTCTAGAAGTTATTTGTTTGGCAATATTCCTCAATGTTTCCAGTCCCATTTTTTGCTTTGTAAAGTTGACTCGTGTTTAATGGTTATTCAATACACAAAAGATCACCAAAAAAGACCAATGTGAAGAACAATTAGCTTATGCAGAGAAGTCAAACAAATATGCTATCAAGAAACCCAATTGACTTTATGTCACCAAGATCTGAAAAATCTTGAGATCAGCATGTATCATATGGAGGGTAGATGGGGTTACCTGATGGCCATTCTGATTGATGTACTCAGGATCAATGGAGTTTGGATAGGCAACAGTAGAAACACTCTTCTTCTTGCCATAACTTTTTACAGAAGTGGCTCTGAGTACATCTTCTTTCTTTGTTCTTCTAATGGGGATTGTCCCTTTTGGGCATTTCCCATTTGAATGCCATAATTGAGTAATTGTTTGCTGATTTTCTGATGATGATGATGCTTCATCTTTAGAAGGCTTCATTGTAGCTGACACTTGGATGGCATCATCATTTATCCAATTTGGATGATAATTTGGCCTCATCTACAATCATCCATCATATATCATTCTCTAAATCAGTATAGAATTACAGATACAGATATACATTCATACATACATGCATAGAGAGCAAGAAACAGGAACCTGAATGGTATGATTTTTGAGGAAGGGATGATCAAAAGCAGGTTGTTGAGAGATATGAACACAGTCTATCATATCACCATCTGGGCTCTGTTTACCATCAAATGCATATGTTATCTCTAAAATTATGGTTCACTTATTAAAATGAGAAACATATGAGTAGAAGAATGGTGAAATTAAGGGGTGGGGATAGTAGACCTTGATGGATTCAACTGAAGGTTTATTCAAACGATTCAAATGCTTCATAACCTCAAAATTCTCCCGGGAACCCGAAAACCGACTTCTGCCGGCGTAACAGAAACGCGCTGCCGTGAACAGACACAGCACCGCCACGAAACGCAAAAAGAGCATAATCTTCATCATTTCTCTCCAAAATACTCCGGTAACGAACTACGATCGTTGAATCGGATAAAAACAGAAAGGGCCAACACTTTGCACAATTGCACTGCTACACTCGTGATATAGAAAGGAAAAAGGGTATGAAAGGAAATGGGAATGGAAGAAGGTATATAGATGGATAGATACAGAGGTTGTGTGTACAGCAACAGCAATGGTGGGTTTGTCGTGTATAGGGTTGTGGACCTGTGTATGAAAAGGACTATTGGAGTGCAAATTGTTTATGGAGGAATCGGTGGAAATCTAGTTTTGAAATCTGACCTAAAATTCAGCGACTTTTTGTTATCATTTGGCCATCAAGAGTCAAAGATTTTCTAACTCAAAGAAATGGCTCCTTCAATTCTCATACGAGGAGTGGAGAATAACCCAACGCTTTTCACGTTAATTTAATTACGGCTGATTCTATTTATGGGTGTTAAGAATTGCTTATAAAAACAAATTATTGATTTATTTCGGTGTGACACTGATAATAAGTATTTTTGAGTGTTTGGATAAACAACTTATAAAGAGTTTTTGAAGAAGTTAAAGCTTTCTGACTTATAATAAGTTGATAAGTGTTTTTATAGAAAAGCGTAAGTTGTTTCAAATAAGCAATCGCAAACACCCCTATCATTTATTCCTTATTCATATACAATTCTTTTAAGTTATTTATTTTGATACAAAGTTGTTACAACAACGTCTCTAAAAGTAAATTCGGCAATTTTTTGCTCCAATTAAAATAGAGAAAATAGGAAATAGTATATGGAATTTTCTAGGGTGTCGTTTGTTTTGCATGAATGGAAATCGAGACGGTTTGGATTTCAAATCTATTCTAATCTCATGTTTGGTTTATTCGATTGTCCGGATTTGTAATCCCTATTATTTAATTGGAATCCTACAAACATAGAATTTTGAAATCATTAGAGAATGTTTGGGATTTCGTAAGATTGTATGAAACAAGGTTTTAAAAAATGTTACTACATTTGTTTTGTAATAAAATCGATTAATAAATGTAATTTAATTATTTTTATAATCACTTATAATTTTTTTATAAATTATTTATTAATAATGGAATCTGAATTCTACAAACCAAATACATCAATGATTTCAAATCCATCCTAATTCAAATCCTTTCATGAAATTTAAATCCCTAAAAAATAATTCTGCAAACCAAAAGAACCCTAAATTTAGAGAACCCTTTAAAAATGAATATTATAAGAAAAATATATTTTATTATGTTCAACTAATAAGGAACATTTAAATTAAATTGAGAAAAAAATATATAATTTTATTAATTATATAAAATATTTTAATAATATAATTAATGATGTAATATTTAAAATCAAGAATTTGCGGGAGTTGAATGTAATTTTTTTTTAGAGATTTTGAACTTTAATTCTCC